GACTGTAGTAGTTGAGAGAGCCGAGGAATTGTTGCATTCATTTCTTCGGCTTGGGAAACGACAATTTGGTAATAGCTGTCATCTTCTTGGGGTCAGCCCGTATTCCATTTGGCGACACCTCGTGAGAGAGAAAATCAATCTTGGACTGACAAAAGATGCTTTTAGTAAAGCTGACACTGATCCTGCATTCATCAAACCGCGCCAGCAACTTGTCCAGTGTGTCTAAGCAGTTGTCAAATGTAGTACCACCAAAACAAATGTCGTCTACGAAGGATCGACGCTGGAACACTAGGACTAGCGACGATTCGTCCGGTTCATTAGTCGCAAACATGTCTGCGTATGGATCGTTCACCATTCGCAACACCGGATCCAGTTCCGACGACGACGCCTGTCGATCAGCCTCAAACTTGGTCCGAGTCGTCGAGTGATCGTTGGTGTTTGGCTGTTTCTTCAGCGAGTTTCATCCGTTCGGCATATCGTTCCCATCCCCCTTTAGGTTGTACAAAGCCCCATAAAGCATTATCGATCATCCTTTGGTAGATCATGGGAGCATTCTTCAATCCGAATGGCATTCCGAGCCCCTCAAAGTACAAACGACCGCTGAAATCTTACGCGCACGCTTCGTCATCATGATTGCCCAAAACCCACTTGCGGCATCCAACGAACAGAACCACAGGTAATTCTCCAGCTCGGTCAACAGGTCGTCGTCGAGAGGCGTGGCGTACTCCATGATTGCTGTGACTGGATTGACCATCTTGTAATCGATGCATAGTCGAATATCTTGGCCATTCTTTTTCAGTACAATCACGATGGGCGACGTCCATGGACTGTCCGAGAACCCATCGAGGCCAGCCTTTAGCAGTCCTTTGAGTAGTTCGTAGAGCTTCTGCAACTGCCTCAGCGGAATCCGCATCGCTCGTTGTTAGATCGGTGCATGCCCTTGGACGTCAATGTCACATACCACCCCATACGCAGGAGGTGGTAATGCATTGCCGCTCAAAATCATGGTCGCCTCGTGATTTTTAAGCGCGTCATCGAGTCATCGTTGCTGACCAGCGACAAACGCGAGTTGTTCACATTCGGAGCGGTATAATCAAGCTCCGGGACCGAGGGCTCTGTTAAGTCAGGCAAGAATGCCAATTCTTGAGCATAGCCCTCCAACGAGATGTAGTTCGCTTCGTGCACGGCATAGTCGTCGTCAGCTGGATCGTCATTGCCCTCCGTGAACAGTACATGCATGACACACATAAACGTATGTTCCAGATCGGTGACAGACGCGTCAGGCGATTTTTCTTCGCTGTGAGTTTCAGTTGGTGGATTATCGCACTCTTGGTTAACATCCGAACTCTCAGTTGGAGCAGGAGATGAAGCTCCTGATGCGACCGCAACGTTAACCGGATAATCGCCCACTAGCGAGCCGTCGGTCGCACTGTCGATGCTCCGAGCCACATGCTCCATACTCCATTATTCGTCTGGTGATAGTGAATCGTCACCATCGCTCGAGTGCTCGTCGACTTTCTGCAATATGCTAGTCGGCCATGTGCAGGGCTGTCGCTCGACCAAGGGTGGCTGTGATGCCAGCCATCGTTCGCACAGCTCGCACTCCAGCTTGAACCAGATTTCGTCATGTGATCCAGCATAAGCCAACACCTGCCACTGCTCGTACTTCCGAGAGTCAATCGGCACGTAGCCAGCTTGCTTTGGCATAAAGCCTCGGGGTACCCAGGCGATCACATTCAGATGTGCCGGACAGTACACCGCCCTGTCCGTGATGTTCGTCAACCGGACTAGAGTTGGATGCCCTTTCCTGAACCGAGTGATTGTCGGGATCAGCGCAGCAGTGCGCCGCACCCAGACATCGTGAGTTCCTAACGATGGTTTTCAATTCTGCAACCGAAACTCAATCCACTCTCCTGCTGGTATCTGCAGGCTCTTCGTCGGTCTGCCGGTGACATGCATCCCTTCAGCTGAATCTTTGTCAGCGCTTAACGATTTCACTAGCGGCACCATTTCTTCTCCTGGAAGCTTGGCTGTCGCGTTGAACAGATCCAAGCGTATTTCAGCTGGTATCATTAAGTCGGTGCCAAGCACCACTTCTGATCACGCACTGTGGTCCATGACCCAGAACTCGAACTCATAAACTGTGTTCCATCCCAGAGTAACCTTGGCTTTCACTCGAGTTGTCGTTGACATTGACTGCGACTGCGACTGTCATGGCGTCCATAACTTCCAATCGAACTGGTGTGACGCTTATCGTCACGTCTAGACGAACTTTGACTTGATGAGCGATTCGACACTCGCTTCTCCACCTTCTGGATGTCGCTGACGATATCTTCGAGCGTGTGAATGTCACGTAACTGCATAGGAGTGAGTTGTCGCTCGAGGTCTCGATCTCCACACGTCTCCAGAAAATGTTTGCCATGTTCCTTCGCCTCACGACCGCTGGCTTCATTCGCTTCGCAGATGCTCACCAGCCAGTCATCGTTCACCACTTTTTTCGTAGTAGTATCTTCCTTAATCTCATGCAATGTGCCTCCGTCGAGACATACGCCACCTTTTCTATCGAACTCCACATTTTTCTCGTTTTCATCATTGTTGTTGTTGTCTTCAGGTCATTCACACTTCCCGGTGAACGCATACAAACATTCCGCGTCAATCACCAGGTCGGCTGACTGTGGCTGCCCGGTAGGGACCAACCCAGTCTCGGTTTAAATGCCCACCGAAAACAAGCTTCTGGAGCTCGGGACTAATGTTCTTCTTGTCAACATTAGTCCGGAGGATCTTGGCCAGCTCGTCGAAGGCCTCGCACTTGCCGAAGTCGTGCACTTGCTGGCACAACCGGCATCTTCGGAAACAAAAGTGCGTGGAATGGTTCTGTCCACCACATGCTGCACAGCACATGCTGCACAGGGACCATAACTTTGTCTCTGGAAACCGCGTCCGCCGCGGTTATCGTTGAACCTCGATCCAGATTGAGTTGCAGGTCGGAATCCACCTTGACTACATCCACTTGACTGTTGTCCATTGTTTTGTAGACGCTTGTCACTTCGCGCGAATCCCGTTAGCAGCATTTCGACGTTCATTGTCGTTGGCAGCTGCAACCAGTCTCTCGTCTCGGTCGGAATAAGGATCCTCACCTTGCATCTCATCTCGTGAACCGCAATCGCTGTCGCACTCATCTTGGACAGCTTCATCTTCCTCATAAAAGTCAATCGGATCATCATTCGAGTAGTCGTTCGAGTACTCGTCGGGTCTTTCCGATGAAGCACGAGTCTGCAACTCAGTAATCTCTGGAAACCGCGCCGACCAGCGCAACACGTGAAGTGTGGCGTGGTTCACTGCGACTACTCTCTTGACTGCGACTGCGACCGTCGTGGCGTCCATAACTTCCACT